ATATATGGGGTGTCGGCTCCAGACTCGTCTTGTCAGGGAAGCGGGGTGGCAGGGTCCATGGCTGTGGTATATTTATCACATTTCACAATAAAAGGATGGGTGCAGTCGGGCACCGTGTCCCATGGGGCTGCAGTGAGCCCTGGCACACCGTGATGCTGCGGGGGCTTCCCCAGCATGCCGGCTGTCTCCCTGGGGGGAGTGACTCCCCTTCTGGCTCTATGGCTGGTGGGACATCCCTGGTGTGGCCATCACCCACCTGGGTGACCTTGGCTTGGGGGGGCTGCTCTCATCTCTCGGGCCGGGCAGACCTGAGAGATGGGTTTGTTTCTCACTCGCTGTCATTGTACCTACAGGCGCCTGGGTGCAGGCGGTGTCCCCAGCCCTTGCACCCCCCTGGGTGTGACCATGTCCTGCCAGGACTTCGTCCCTCTTGCTCACACCCTGCCCGCCTGTCCTGCAGTCTTGGTTTCTGTGTCGTGAGCAAACATGTCTCATTTGACGCAACCAGTTACCCCACAGCTGTACGAGTGGAATTTAAAGGTGACGATGGGGCCGTGAAGCTGTGGGGCAAGTGCCGTGAAGGCTGTATGTGCATCGCTGGCGTGCACGCAGCTGTGTCAGAGCCTGGCCTGTCTCGTGCCCTTCCCCTGCCTGGTCCGGGCTCAGGATCCTCCAAACCCTGAGCGAGCCCTGAAATGGTTTTGGGGGCTGCCGGGTGGACGGGGAGCGCGGCAGGGCTGTGGGATGTGTCAAGGGGCAGCAGAGTGGCCTCAGCGGGGCCGGGGACAAAAGTGGGACCTGGCCTGCCCGGCATGGGGCTGTGTGCTGGGCTGGGCCAGGGCACAAGCCTTCAGGATGGCTGTGCCCTGAGCGGGGGGGGTGGCCTCATGGCAGTCCCGGTTTGGGCTGAGCCTGCGCTGGGGGCTGGGAGGGTTTTGGCAACCACTGAAAAGGCAGAAAAAACAAGGAAACAAACCTTCCCCAAATAAATCCCTTGTAAGCTCAGGCACGGAGCCAGCCGCTTTGCCAGGAACCAGCCGTGGGACCAGCCCGGCAGCTTGTGGCTGGTGGGTGCCTCGGCCGCACGTGGGCTCTGGGTGGGGGACATGGCTGCACCGGGTGCCCAGGGACCCCAGCATGTGCCAGGAGGCAGGCCAGGCC